AAATTTATTTATTTATTTATTTTTATTTTGTATGTTTTCGTGTATTGCCTGCATGTAGGTAAGTGCACCCATGTCGTGCAATGCCTGCGAAGGACAGAAGAGGCTGTCGGATCCCCTGGGACTAGAGTTACAGACAGTTGTTAGCTGCCATGTGGGTGCTGGGATTCAAACCCGGGTCTTCTGCAAGAACAACCAGTGTTCTTAACCATTGAGCCAGTCCCAGGCTTAGGATTTTCAATAGGCCATTCTCCCTAAAAGGATACTTGAGCACACAGCTTTTGCTTACTGGACATGTACCCCAGTACATGATTCATTTGAGGCTGAATCAGTCCTTCTATTCTTTATACCCAGCGTCATTGGAACATAGGTGAATAGGAATTACCGAAATTTGATGTTACCAGGGACGGGAGTCTTATACCATAGTTCAGAGAGGCCTGTATTTGTTACCTGATGCAGATGAGAGTACATTAGGTGCTGAAATTGCTAGGTGCATTGTTTGGAGGTGGGTGTGTGCGTAGCAGGTGCAGGTTAAAGTACATCATTAAAAGAACAGGGCTGTTCATATCCAAAGTTGCATAGTCTTCCAGAGTAAACTGTCTTCCTATGCTTCCCTGGCACAAAACGAAACAAAAGTCATGTCAGCCTTTCCTCAGAGGGCCTACTGACAGTTCTTGTTTTGTTTGATTTTTAGTGTCTCCCCTAAAGGATAGTTATTTCTTTTATAAAAAATATTTGATTTATTATTTTTATTTTATGTGTATGAATGTATTTTGCCTGCATGTGTTTGAATGCACCCATGTCGTGCAATGCTGCAGAGGTCAGAAGAGGGCATCACATTCCCCTGGAACTGGAGTTAAGGACAATTTTTAGCCACCATGTGGGTGCTGGGAATCGAGCCCTGGTCTTCTGCAAGAGCAGTCAGTGCTCTTAACCGCCGAGCCATCTCTCTAGCCCCAGTTATTTCTTTTTTTAATAAAATTATTTATTACATATTTTTGTGTTTGCTCTGTATGTATGTAAATGGCCTATGTGTGCATTGCCTGCATAGGCCAGAAGAGGCTGTTGGAGCCCCTGAAACTGGAGTTATGGACAGTTGCTGTTCATGTTGGTGCTGGGAACCAAACTAGGCTTCTCTGCAGGAGTAGCCAGTGCTCTTAACCAGTGAGCCAGCTTCTCCAGTCCCCCCCCCCCTTTTTTTTTTAAAGTTTCTCAAATTATGTGTAATGGGGTGGAGGGAGTGGGTATGCTGCTGCCTGTGGACACCTGCAGTACTGGCACTTCGTGTGTTCTGGAAATGGAGCTCGGTTCCTGTGGAAAAGCAGTGCACACTCTTGTCCGCTGAGCCACCCCTCCAGCCCTTAAACTTGTTTTTTTAGAGACAGATACAAACCAAAAGGAGATATTTACTGCCAACTTAAAATCCATCCAGGGTTACTAAATAATGGTCTAAAAAATAGTGCACTGTTTATTATGTGCTAGTGTTAGAAATGCTTCTCCAGCTTTAAGAAAATGACCACATAATCCAAGGTATTAGGCAAAGCAAAAAGTTTCACTTCTACAAAAAGGTGTAAGGCTACCTTAAATCGAGCAGGCAGGCACATCAGATAGGGGTTCAGATGGCTTTTTAAGCCTGAGTAAGGGGTTCTGTTCCTCACTTGAATGGTCAGAGTTTGGCCTCACATTCTTACACAATTGGCTAATTAAAAGAGCACAATTGATAAGCAAAGTTCAGCTTTCAAGAACAGGACACATCTTTGAGCACAGGTTACAGTCTTGAACAAATGCATTGATCATAGAAAAATAATGATGTGTGGGCATTTTGCCTGTGTGTCTTTACAGATTTGTTAGAGTTGGAATTCCCTTTGTCTCCATTAACCCTTTTATGCAAAGACAGTACATTTCATTGGCATTTCTACAACATCCTCATGTTTTACAATAATTTTTTTTTGTTGTCAAAGTTTTGGGTTTTTTAATATTTGTAGAGCAATTGTGGAAACACTGCTGAATCTAGTTCACACATTTATGACAATGAGAATTCCCCTAAACCCAATACACACAAAGATCATGTGTGACACTTTACACGTCCATGGTGTAACAGGGACAGTCATTGGAATCAACAGGTTTGTATCAGTTGCTGTGGATCCAGAGATCAGTCCGTGAATGGCTGTTCTTGAAGGATAGCTGTGGTGTAGTTACCTTGGAAGGCTTACAAAGACCAGTCCTTAATTGTACAGTGTGTGGCTGCATGTCTGATTTTCAAGCACAGCACATGGTTGTCTAGCTGAGGTTTGAGGGCCTGGTTTTCTGAACTCTCCTCCTTACCTCTATTTCTGTGTCTTACTACTTCAAAGCTCTTCTCCATTTCTTTATCCCTAAGGGAAAAGAAATGTAATTAGTAAATATTTCTTCAATAGGGAATTTTGAATATATT